ACACACACTGAACCAACTGTCTCAAACATGGTACTCTGAGTGTTAGAGCTCATGGAGAAAGGCCATGCCTTCTCCATTCCTCACCTTTGCATGCCTTGCACCAGTACGTTGCAGGACAGTACGTTTAAAGAATTTGTTGACTTGCACACCTCCCCCCAAAGAATGGGTCACATTGCGATGGGTGGCATCAAGCATTCCAACAACATAATTTTGGGGGTTTCAAGATTGTCATGTTACTTAAATATTCTTCAACATATATCTTATAAATAAGATATCAATGCACAGTTCGATCATTACATAGTGATAATAAAAACAACATATATTTATGTATCCGTATTTATATATCTCAATTCATTTTGCCAAGCATTTGTATTATTTCACAAGAGCCCCTTGCTCCCTGAATCAAGTGGATTGGCCAGAAGGAGTCTGTCCCCTACTTTACAGACGAGAAAAGTGTGGCTCAGAGGATGAAAGCACATGGGTCCACACAGGGACCATCACTGAGTCCTCACAACAGTTGTCGGGGCCTTTCTTCATCATTCACACACATTTCACCGTTCATGGTTACCATGCAAACACCAAGGCCATACAATACAAGCGAAGTTATGGGGCAAACCCAGAAGTCAGGCCCAGTGCGCTTAGACCAACACGCTTGGCCAGGTACTGCAGGCAGCCGCGAGCCAGCCTGCCCACGCAGGGATAAAAACCACAGGCACGCTGCATGCAGCCCTGGTTTTACAGAGGGAAGGCTGGGGGTCTGGCGGTCTTCAGGTCCAGGCAAGTGCAGAGACCCTGTTTTTATATAGGTGGCCTCCCAGATGGGGCAACCTGCTCAGGGCAGTGACTTGCTTCATTCACTGACAAGATGTTCCTGCCAGCCTCCCCCCTCACAGCCCTGCCTGGATGCTGCAGGTGCCCGAATGTTCAACATGAGCCCAGTCAAGGACAGGAAAGCACAGGCAGAAATAAAAATATGTGGCAGGGCTGGATAAAAAGGGTGACCAGCCCCAGGCCCAGCCCCAGCCCTGCATTGCCTCTCTGTGGACCCGAGGTAGGTCTTTGTCCTTCTGAGCTCAGTTTCCATCTGTATGGGCAGGAATGTGGCTCCGGCCTCCTTTAGGTGCAATGGAGAGTAATGACTAAGAGCAGCCTGCCTTGGCTCAAATCCCCCACGCCTGCTAGCATGTGATTTTGGCGCATTAACTCTCCCTGTGCCTCAGATTCCGCATCTGTAGAACACGGGTAACAGCAGACCCTTCTCACGCACGTTGTGAGGACCGAGCCAGGTATTTAGCTGAAGTGCTAAGCGCAGGGCCTGGCACGCAGTAATGCTTATTAAACACTTCTCGTTCCTACTGTTGGCTCTGACACTCAGTCTGAAACAGGGTCACACACTGCCGTGCATGGCCACATGCGGCTGCTGAAGGGTTTTCCCACCATACACACGCCACAGGGCAGGGTCTGGAGCAGTGCCTGGACAATAGCAGGGTCAATGACTCGGCTAAATGAATGAATGGCCTTGCTGTGTTTCCACATATTTGAATTAGTTGCTGCTTTATTTATTTTATTTATTTATTTTTATTTTTTTTAGACAGAGTCTCACTTGTTTTGCCAGGCTAGAGTGAGTGCCGTGGCGTCAGCTAGCTCACAGCAACTCAATCTCCTGGGGCTCAAGCGATCCTCCTGCTCAGCTCCCAAGTAGCTGGGGCACAGGCATGCGTCACATGCCCAGCTATTTTTTACATTATGTTAGTTGGCCAATTAATTTCTTCTACTTTATAGTAGAGACGCGGTCTCGCTCTTGCTCAGGCGGTTTTGAATTCCTGACCCTGAGCAATGGGCTGCTTGGCCTCCAGAGTGCTAGAGTATTACAGGTGTGAGCCACCTCACCCAGGCTGTTACATTTTAAATAGGTAGATTTTGTTGATTTCTTAAAAAAAAAGTCTGGATTTCTAGATTCTTTGAAAATCAAAGGGTCCGGCCAGCCTAAAAGTTGTTCTGACACTGCCTAGGAGGACAAGAAAAATGGTAGCAGCTATGTCCCCTTTAACAGAATGAGTGTGTGCAGTTTGCCACCTGCCTGCCAGCTGTCCGGACCCGAATGTTCGCCCCTGGCCAGGGAAGCCAGGCAGCAAGAAGTCTGCATTCACCCGGCCCAGGCGTCTGTCCACTGGGATTCTTCAGCCCTAATCTGGCAGAGGAGATGGGTCCCCGGTCTGCTCAGTGACCAGACACTCTGGCATCCAAGCCCCCTCTGCTTGACAGCCAGACCCCCACCCACAGCCCACCCCACTCCGAGAGGGGACCACAAATGCTGCGCATGGCTGTGCTTCCTCAGCCTTCGCGGCCATCTCACTCACTCCCTGTTTGGAAAACTCCCAAGTGCCAAAAGCAACAGGATCTCTCTTAAAAAAAAAAAAAGTAAATTAAACCCAAAGAAAATAGAAAACATGAAATAAACATTCCCAGTAAGAACAGAAATTAATGAAATAGAACATAAAATTTAATACACAAAAATCAGTAAAAAAGCTGCTTCTTTGAAAAGATCAATGAAATCGATTAATCCAATAATCAACAAGATGACAAAGAAAATTAGAGAGATGGCACATATTACCAACACATCAATGAAAAACTATCACTGCAGATTTCAAAGTATAACGATTATAAAAGAACAATTAAGGAGATACTATGGATATCTTTATGGAAGCTCATTTGAATATTTATATAAAATGGATAAAATTCTCAAGAATACAATGTACTAAAACTGACACACAAAACACAGAAATATAAATAGTCCTATATCTGCCAAAGAAATTGAAACTGTAATTTATAACTTTCCCACTAAGAAATCTAAGCTCTCTATTGAATTCTTCTAAACATTTAAGGGGAAAAAAATCCCACAAATCTTATCCAAACTCCTCCAGAAAAACAGAAAAAGAAGAAACAGTTCCCAATTTGTATTACGAGGTCAGAAGAACTTGATACTATAATCTGAGAAGGATATTACAAGAAATGAAAATCACATGACCACAGATTTTAAAAACTCTTAAACAAAATATTAGCAATTCACATATGCCATGCAAA